TAGTGTAATCTTGGTTACACTTAGAGGCAGGAAATAGATCAGTGACTCTCTGGAGGATATAATGTAATCATTTCCTTGGTTGATACCAACACGTGGCATCCAGGCAACAAGAAAGAGAAATCCTCCAAGAGTTCCTCGACAGTTCACAATACACTAAATTGGATTTGGGTGACCCTAATTATAGGGCTTCCCAGGTGGCGCTGTTGGTAAAGAACTGACTGCCAATGCCAGAGACGTGAGAGATGTAAGTTCAATCCCTGAATTGGGAAGATCTCCTGAGGAGGGCATGGCAACCCACTCCAGTATTCTTGCCTGGAAAACCCCATGGACAGAGGAGCTGGGCAGGCTACCGCCCATAGGGTCACAAAGAGTCAGACACAACTGAAGCAATTTAGCATGTATGCACGACTCTAACTATGAAATAGTCATCCAGCAGTTCATTTTAACCAGTCCTGCCTATCACATGACTAACACATAGATTGCTGAAATGTTAAATAGCCAAATTACCCTATTACTAATATATTACACTATATTATTAACTACATTACAAATATTATTGCTTTATTGGAACTGAGAACAAATACAAATTAAATTGGCAGGGAAGGGCACAAAAGAATTTTAGTGGATAAATGTACTTTTTCCCCTTGTTTTATCAGACAAAAAACTCTCTTCTCCTTACCCCATCTTCACTCCCCCCAGTTACTGAAAGCTCAACTCTGTATATCTGTTTTAAAAAAAAAAACAACCCTTCATTTCATTACTAAGCAAAATACAGTAAAACCCTGTGGGGAAAAAAATCTTCCTCTAACTAGTGGTAAATGAATGTGGACATGAGACAACTGGCCATCGGTTATCAATGTTTAAACTCTGACAAGCAAAATTCTTGCAGGGGAAGCAGCAAGGGAGGGATTTTAGGAAGCTGCTTTATCCTCATCAGTCAGTAAATTTTCATTTCAACATCCAGTGTATGTTTTGTTTGTAATGGTCTGTTCTATTTTCTGAAAAATATTTTTGATGAATCTCACAATGAGATCCAGAATTTTACAGGGTTGAACTTTTTATACCTTTCCCTCCCCAATTATTCCATGGTAGGGTTGAAGGGGCTACTATATATCATATTCTAAAGAGGAAAGTTGAGTTTATCACAAAAACCAACCCGAGGCTTCTGCCTTAAACCCTCAAGCTAGCACCTTCCTGGCCCTTTAGTTTATCTGCTAGGGCATCTAATATACATCTGAAAATGTGTCATTTTTAAAAACATCTTGTTGAATAATTTCCTCTTTAATCTCTCTATTATTTCTTTATCCCAGCTCCTGCACAAGTCCATGCTATCTCACAGGCAAGTAATCCCAAATCACAAGACGACTCTGGAAAAGTATCACACTTCACCCGTGAATGGATCACCTGAACAGGCAGCACCTACTTGGCTACCGTGTGCTTTGGCCACTCAGCAATTTCTAGTCAATTAATTATTTGACACGAAGGGTACCCCCAAATTTCTTACACAGGAAACATGTAAGAATATCAGCATACTTTTGCTGCCATACACATTACAACACATTAAAGGTAAATCTAAGAAAAATATCTTTATAACCATTATTAAGATTGCCATTTGATTCTACCCACCATTAAAATATAAATTTCAACAAATTTAAGCCTTTTTCTGGATTGTTTTATTTTTTCTTTTGTTGAATTTCTAATGCCTAGGAACGCTGCCAAGTTCATGGCAATAACTAGTTGTTGAATGAGTGAGTGAATCTCTGACAATCAAATAAAGAAGGAACATGATGCTGTGGGAATGCACTTGCCTTAGAGGCTGAATGCAGAAAACCTGGGTTTTCATGAGAAATGGTTCTCATTCTTCCCTTAACTAGAGGGTTGACCTAGCGAATTCTGAATTACCTCTCAGGACATCAATTTCTCCATCAGTAAAATAAAATGATTAGACTAGATCATTTCAAAAAGCCTTTCAAGTCTAAAAATCTGTGAAAGTGTTTATGGTACAAATTCACACAGACAAGCAAGTTTTATTATATAACATAATAGTTCCAAACTGATATTGATAGTAATGGTTTTAATGAGAGGTAGGAGAGAAAAAATTCCCAACATGACATTAACAATCATATTCAACTAAATTAAACCTTTAGAAAAAATCACAGATCCCCGATTTGACAGGAGGCCACGCAGCCAAATAATTTGCACACAAATGACTGAGAAAGATGAGGCACATGGGCTGCAGTCCAATCAGTGACTTAAGGCAGTTCATCTGGCTTCTTCTGATACTTTGAGCCCTACTGAAAATGAAGGAACCCTAAGACCATTTTATGAAGCACATTCGGTACCTGAGTTAACTTTACAACACAGAGTAAATCAGTTCTACACAATATACTTCAGTGCATTATAAGTGTGCTTTAAAATGTGGATGCCAATCTAAAATCTCTTGCGAATTAATTTTATATATGTTTGTCATTAAAGTGGCCACCCTAGAGATTTGTTTTGACATTTTTACTGTAACCATTCACAGAACAAAGAAAAGATATATGAATGGAGATGAAAAGCACCAAAATCTTGTGTGTTAAACTCCTTCATGAACAGAAGCTAGCAGAAATGTAAACGTGGAATGACTTAACTGGGGTAGTAAGATATGTCTTGGGGGGTGGAGAAGACTAAAATTGTACTAGGTCTTTCAGATATCATTTTAACTGCTTTTCAAGTAAAGCTGATGTAGTTTTTATCTCATTTAATTCACCACTGAGAATAGCACAATTTCTACACTTGCGTCCTTTCAAGTCTAAAAAGGTATTCACAATTAAACTAAAAGAAAGCTTACTCACTAAGATATATGGACTCTGAGCTGTCTATGACTTACTGCTTAGCATTTTGAGAAAAACCAAGGCTCTTTCAGTGTTTGGACAGTGTGGTTAAGTAGAAGAAATTGAGGGGCTGGAATTAGAAAATCTGGTTTCCAAGCCTGGCTGTGCACCTTGCCAGGGTAACTAAGTTGATTCATTCTCTCAGTTTTCTCATCTGAGATAGGGATAGGGAATTGATAACCAGCATTTTTTTCCCAGCAAGTACTCCCATTTTATCTAATGTTTTCTTTCCAGAAAAGATTATCTTTTTTTTTATGAAACACCAAAATTTAGATTTAAAATATTAGTATGTTACCAGCTTGAATTCAATACAACAAGCATCATTTCTCAAGGTATCTCTCCTACTGCCTACTTTTCAGATCCCTGTTCTTCTGATGACCACTTGTTGTCTCCTTAGTTAAATAAATAAAACTTTCTAAGTTTTACTTTCCTGGTCTATAAAATGAGAGACTGTAACAGTACCTTATCCATAAGGCTGTAGTGAGAATGAGATGAGATAATGAAGGTAAAGGCTGCAACTTAGCACCTGGTAATAAGTAAACACTCAACACGTTAGTTATTATTTTAATTGTCATTGTTACCATCCAGAATTCTAGTCCCCTATGACCTGCTCAGATCTTCTGTATTGTTAGCTATAAAAGAGGTACCAGATCCCACTTCAAATCAGCCTTATTCCCTTTCCTATTAGCAGATCAAATATTCTGTCATCCATCTGAAAATACGAAAACTAAAAAACAGATACCATTTCAAAAGATACTCTCCTAGATCTTGCCTACTATAAACTAGTCTCCAGAGACAGTCAAAATCCTTAATTCTCTCCTCCAAAGACTGTGTGAAGAAAGAAGCAAACTGATCTTTTACTGGATTTATAACTATTATTTGCCTAAACTTATATAACAAGTTTTTTAAACTCTGCTCCTTCTCCAAAGACACTAGACATCCGGAGGCAACAGACATTACTGAAAGTCACAGAATAAGACATTATGCCCATCTCTAAGTCAAGGTTGCCTGAATAGAAAGAAACATTGTGATTTCTAATAACCTGTACCTAAGCACACAAAAATCTGCCACTCAAAGCACAAAGCCTATTTCAAGGTTAAACTAATTTCAAAACACCATACAGAACTAAGTCATGAATTGTCTACATACACAAAACAAACATTCCCCACCCCGTTCTCTGGTGAGGAATGGGAGCAGGACACAGGAAACCACCCCCGCCCCCAGAAATGGCTGGATCTCTCTCTTCCTCCTCAGCAGAAGGATGAAAACTTTTCTGCCCACGAGAGGACTTGGGACTGAGAATAGGACTCACGTCCAGGTAGGATTAAACTAAGGGGAACCTTTCTTCCTCTTCCCGCCTCTTTCCAATCTACAGAATTACTGGTGTTGCCTACAACCTAAAGGATTAGTAAACGTTTCCTTCAACAGCTAATGAAATGTTTCCAGAAACATGCACATCAGTAGCCCTCTTCCGGACTGGTAAGTGTGGGTTTGGTCGAGGGTGTGTATGTGTGTGTGTGTCTGTATGTGGGTGTGTCTATGTGTGTGCATGTGCTGTATCTTGTTTAATATTGATGCTTGCAAAAACGTGCTTTCAAAAGCAGCCATGATCTTTTCGGGGGGCGGCATGTGTAGAGGGGGGAGAGCCGCCCCTTTGTCTCCCCCAGATCTCAGCCCAGAGGACCAGAGGGAGGGTCAGAGAGGGGCGTGGGAGAGGCTGGACTCACACTTACCTTTAAGCAGTAGACGAGGTGAGAGTGGATTTTGGCGCCGTGTTTGTTTTGTTTTGTTTTCTGTTTCTTTTAACGCGCCCCAGCGCTGGGGGCGCAGAGGGTCGCAGCGGGGCGGGGCGCGGCGGGGCGGCGGGAACCGGGAGCGGGTCGCCGCGCTGCCGCGTCCGGCCAGCAGGGGGCCCCTTCGCTCTGCCTAAAGCCGCTCTACCTTCTCCGCCGGATCTCAGCCCGCACGGCCGGGGACCGCGGGAGCGCAGAGCACCGGGAGACAGGAGGAAGCCGAGGGCTTGACAGAGACCAAACGAGGTGAGCCACAGAGTGGCTTTCCCCGAAAGCTCGCCTTCCTGGAGCTGCTTGACACTTGACAAATTCTGGAGAGGTCGAGCGTTTTCAGGAACGAGGTCCGCGCCTCCGCCTTACTCCGGCTCCCGAGCGCCGCGGCGCCGTATCGCGCCGGCCTCCTTGCCCAGGTCGCCTTCGGCCCGGGGCAGCCTTCCCGGCGAGGGTGTGAGGGGGCGAGCCGACGTCGCCGGCCCGGGCGCGGGAGGCCCCTGAGAGCGGTGGGGAGGCGACGAGGGCGGCGATTCCCTACACCCTCGTCCCCGCGCGGATCGCACCTGGCGCTCCTGGGGCTACAAAATGCAGGCCGACTCAACCCAAGAGGCAACGGTCTGTGTATCGTTGTCCAGTGTAACCACACCTTGGTTTGGCTTCCTCTCCTCGATCTGAGAGCCAGAGTGGAGGTGGAGTTTTCGTTCCCTTACTGCCCCCCAGGAGGCCCGGGTCCGAGCCAACGATGCAGGGCCGCAGCTGCTGAAACTAGAGTGGAGGCTGCTAAAACGATGCCCTCGTCCCGCTCCGGGGCGTCCGGGGAAAGAGAGCCGAGCCCGGCCCCGGGCGGCCTGCCTCCCTCGGCGATGGAGCACCAAGCCTGCCGACCACACGTCTGCCCTTCGCCACACTAGAGTTGAGCCCCCGGCCGCCCGCGGGAACTGGCCTCCGGAGGTCTTCGGGACCCTCTCTACAAACAGCGCGAGCACTGGGACCTGCCTTTAGCTGGCCTCGGTTTAGAGGAGGAAGATACTGTATCTTTCTAAGGGATCTACTTTGTTTTGATCTGCAGCAGAAGTGATGGCCTTGAATTTGTATAAAGTTACTGCCTGAGACACCATCTCCCCAAATCCCCTCAACCCACACACCGCGCTCCACCACCGCTCCCACCACTCCCACTCCATTTGCATTTGAAAACCTCTGGAAACAAGCCCTTTCAGGATGAACCTACACACACACACACACACACACACACACACACACACACTCCAGCCCGCCAAGTGAAAACTGAGTTGAGTCATAGGATGCAAATATGTAAGGTTGCCTGGCCTTTCGCTTCTGAGGATAAGAATGGCCAATAACTCAAGATTCCGGCAATAACAGAACATAACGAGGTTTCTAGAACCCTGTTCCGATCCTTTAGAAACAATTAGAATAATAGTGGTGAAAGTAAGAGGAAAAGAATTGTGTTTTTCAGGGCACTTGCAGGCCATCTGCTGCATCTTGTATGGGGAGAACTAAAAATTATTGCCCTTGATTCAGACCCACAGGTCAAATGACACCATCTCTCTTCTCTGGAGGATAATTAAAAGCAACTCTGTCCATAGACGTTTGATAGACATTTCACTCAAAATAGTTAAAAATTGTTCGGCCCAATAGCAATGTGCTTCTACATATAAAATCATGTGTAATCATATCAAATATATGAAATATACTTTTTAAAGAAAGGTGAATTTTCTTTACAAATATCCACTCAAAGACAGCTAGATATGTCAGCTGCTGGCAACAAGTCACTATTTCGACTACAAGTTATGCAATGATAGTCAAACAGTCTAGCCCAAATCCTCTCTTTGTTTCAAGAGTATTAATAAACTATAGAGGGAGAGACCTTAATTAAAGATGTAGTGTCCTTTTGAAATTTAACAAGCTTTAAAAATGTAATAAAACATGCATACGTTTTCAGTTTTGTTTTGGTTTTGGTTTTGGTTTTGGTTGATTGGTTGCTTGCTTGCTTGATTGGTTGGTTTTGCTTTTAGGTTTGTTTAAGATATAGCATAGTCATCACCAGTTCCTATCCCATGTTTTTATTCCATAGAGTCTGAAAAAAGTACCAGTGAGTAGGGTAAAAAATTCTCCAAAAAAGCCCTGAGTCTTGCCACTATCCTCATCTAAATCTTTTGTGTGCATTTCAGAATAGCTCTAAAATAGCAGAATGCATTTCATATTTCTAACTACTTTGACACAATGTGGAAATAATACTTCTAACACTTGACTAGGTATAATTCTAATGATTGCTAATTTTGCATTAAAATTAATGATATTTTGCATAATGATATGTCATTGTTCAATAAGACATGTATTTAAATTATAGGGAAATACCATTGTAGGGTTCTTTACAACTCAGTGTAAGTAGCTATATCATGACTTTGAAAACATAAAAGAATCCTCCCATAAACCTTCTGAAATCACTCTCATAAACCCGCTCCACTTTCTAACACCATGGAAAAGTTGATTTAATTTAATTTCTATTCTGCCGACGTTAAGTTTATTTCATCTTGGAGAGGTGCCTTGTTTGGAAAAAGTTGATTGTAGGAAAGGAGGATAAGGTGGCAGGAGCATGAACATTGAAATAACATTCCATTTTATAGCCAAGAAAAACAGTGTAATTGCCTCCATCACATCAGTAGTAGGAAGACTCTGAAAGGGTTTGATTCAAAGGCACTTCATTGAGTGTACCAAGAGCACACTGATATCAAGTAGTAAACTACCCAGGATCATTTCTTTATTGTTGAGAAATCATGATTCCAATTCTGTTACATTTATTTTTAAGTTTTGCTGGAGCCTGTGGAAAAAGGATAAGGAAAGACGAAGAAACTATATTGAGTGCATCAGGGTACAAAATAGATAATCTTCTCCACCTAGCACTTCTCAGAAAGAAAACTCAAATCATCTGTCTACAAATATCATTTCAACTTTTCTCAGTTTACTGCTATTTCTAAACAGTTTAAACTATGATGCCAACAAACCTAAAGTTAATGAGTGGACTCTACTTAAGTAATGGGAGAGAATGAGTAAGGTGACTACCATAAATTTACCAAAGACTTGGCCAAATTCTGCCTGCACTTTCAGCCTAACCTGCAGGGGGCAATAGCTTGACACGAATAAGAACAAAGGCTGCTAAGCTATTAGACTTGGATTTCTGACTGTGACCCTGGAATGTTGTGTAGGTTGGAAAGAGTGCTTAATTAATGTATATTGAAACAAAAGATCAGGTAAATTGTTTGAATTGTCTTCAAGCTATATTTTTAGACTAATCTAATTCATAACTGTTAGGTTTTTTATTTTTCCTTAAAGAGATTATCAAAGTTTCAGAAGACATTCAGCTATCTCAAGAATTATCCTAAACACTAATTGTTTACTAAGAATATATGTAATTTATGTTTTCTAAGGCAGCCAAATCAAAATAAACACAGCTTTAAAATTCAAATGGATGACAAAATTAGAGGAAACATAGATTATTTGGATATAGATAATAAAAGAATGTCACATACATAGATAATAAACTCTAGATACGTTTTTAATTTTAAAATATAAATGGATAAGGGACAATCACTATTGTTAGCACTACTTTCTCTCCACATATAAGATGTTAATTTTGAAAACTGGTTTATATTTAAATATCATGATAAGCAATAAGTAAGTGACCTCTTTTATTGCCATAGTTTTTTATTACAGATAAAAATGAATTTACTGACTATTGATAATCCACAGTCTTCCTCCGCCCTTTCCACACCCCGGCCCCACATCTCCACTCCCTCCCCTTCCCTATACCTCCCCCGTCAGCTGATCAGGAAAGACTGGAAACCGACCAAAAGGAGTTTCAGCCAGAGGGAATAATTGTAAAATTAAAAAAGAAAACTCTCCCTATCTCCTCACTGCAATCACACTTAACGTTCATTATGTCAATTTTCAATGATGCAAAATGTCTTGCCCAAGAGGCATCCTGCTTTCAGGAAGTCAAAAGGGTACGTGGCATTAAACAACATCCAGTCAATCCTGGTTGGATTAACTGGGCTGAGTTTCTATATACTGCACATGCTATGGATCTACTCTGATCGCAGTAAGGAAAAAAACATGATAATAGATTTTTTTTTTTAAGAATTGCTGCACAGGAGTGTTCTGTTTCTTTTATAAGGCAGAATTTAATCTTGATAAAAATCTTTTAAAACACCCTTTTTCTTCCACTGTGGTAAAGATAGGGTATCTATTTTTGCATATCTTTAAGGAAAGAAGATCAGATTACTTACACTGAGAAAGAAAATTTTATTCTCCAACACCCACCCCCCCCCATCCTACTAAACCGTTTTAGTCGACATATGTTTGTTATCAGAGAGAGGTGCTGTGAACACACAGCCATTTTCTTAGCAGCTTTTTGACTGTATGTTACCATAGTCCCACAAGGCATTGGTCCTTTCCCATTGGGAAGTCATGAATAAGAGACTTGAAGCCTGCACGTCAGATCTCCCTCAATTAATCCAGCATTAGCGTGTTTGGGACCCACTGCTGGATGGCTAACAGCGGCTTCTGTGACTGCACGCCGACCATGCCCACCTATGCTCTGCTAAAAATGAACTCTTTGCAGACCAGCCCTCTCGGGTTGCCAGTGTCTTCCGTCTTCCTATCTTAACGTTTGTGTATGGTGGCAGGCGACAGATGGTGTAGATCAGATCGATTTGATTGCATTAGATGATTTTTTCCCCCCCTTCCCCACTCCTTTCTGGAAGCTCGCATCAGCTGAAGGCTACCGCCTGGGACTCCTCGGAAGCGTGAGCAAGCCGCCACCACGCGAAGGCACTGGGGCACAGCCAGCGCAAAGCACCGGGGTCCCTTCCCAGGGCTTGTTAACACTAACCCGGCAGTCCGAGGGAAGCAGCTCCCACTGCCCAGAGCTACCTCCCTGCTCATCAGATGACTCTGGCTTCTGCACACAGTTGGAGTTCCGCTTGAAACCTGGATTTAGAGGGTAAGCACTTCAATCGAGATGGATTTGTGACAGTTACTTTGCTATACCGCAAGACAAATCTCAGCAAACGGTAAAGGATGTAGGGTGTGTGGAACAGGGAGACTATGTTTACATCGATAAATGTGTTTCTTTTTGTCTGAAAATGAGAGTATTATTCAGTTAAGATGTGTATAGTGTTTTTCCATTGATTCTAAGAGTCGATGATCACACTCCTCCCGATTTTTTTCTCTCTCCTCCGTGTTTCCCCCTTTCTACTTCAGAAGGAAAGAGAGAGGGAGAGGGAGGGAGGCAAGGGGGAGGAGGGGAGAGAGAAGCATTTCTGCTTTAGCTTAATTGGCTTATTTCCTCAAACCGATTGCTTTGTCGCGTTTCTTCATGTATATTTGGTTGCAAATTACCAAGCGTTTGACTGGGATGGGTGTTGGAGTGTGGGGGACAGGGTGGGAAAGTAGTGGGGACTGGCAGTCAGTCGCGGTGGCCTTGAGAGATCAAAAGGTGCTGAAAGCCCTTGCCCTCAAAACACACCTCTAGTTATTGGGGAGCTAGGGAAATGTAGATTCTAATAAATATGGCTTGCAGGAGTCGATGAACAAAGGTACTTAATGCAGACCTAAGCCTCCGTTGATATTGCTCCGCTAGCAGTATCTAAATATTCAAAAGCAAAGTGTAAGTTGATCAACAAACGCCCTGGTGGTATTGGGCTTTTTTTTTTTTTTTTCTCCTCTCCCCCCTTTTCCGTTTTTGTGTAGAGGGTGGAGAAGGGGGGGGAGGGTGGATGGGTGGGGGAAATCCGACAGCTTAAGGAGGTTTGAATTGAATATGCACCCAGCGGCAGTGGTCTCGTAGGAAATGGTGTTCTCGTAAGTCAGGCTGCCCCGCTGAAGCACGAGA